TCTCCTAGCCATCGTGGCGCCTTTTCTGGAAGACATTGGCACTCCTTAGTGATGTATAGATGATACGTGAATGCCACATTACTCCCCCGCCTCTTCCATCAATCAGCTTGAGTGCTGTACAATTTGCGGTGCGGAGGTTGGGATGGTTGGATTGGGGTTAGGCAGTTCCGTTAACGCAGATGTGAGCATAATTGATCGCTTTGCACGTCTAATGGCATGGGCTATGAAGCAAAACCATTTGTTATTTGACCAGGTAAGGCCGCATTGAGCCTATATAGCTCTTCTTCAGAAGCGTCCTGGCTATCACGAATGATAGCTGAACAAAGTGGAGGCTTATCATCATCATCGCGTGGAAATTTACAGCGGCGCTCAAAGACTCCTAACGCGTGATGTCGATTCTAATTGTGGAAGGAAAATAAACCGGAGGACCCGGAGAAAAATCCACGGAACCACTGCAGGCACGAAATAGAGGAATGCAAACTCCAAATATACAGCAGGCACCAGGGTCGGGATTGAACCCACTGCCTCCTATATATCATGCGAGGTAGTTAACATCTCCTAGCCACCGTGATGATGGTGAGAGAAAGAGAGAGAGAGAGACACGCCAACTCCAAATATACAGCAGGCGTTGTCAGAGGTCGAGATCGAACCCACGACCTATGGCATTCCAGGCGAGGCAGATAACATCTCCTAGCCACCGAGGCGCCATAATGATCTCCCCGGCGTTCACCCGTTGGTGGCCGGGTGACTCCTTGCCGGGAGCGTGGTAATGGCTTAGCCGCGCGTGGAAAGTAACTCTTGCCGTCGCGCGATGTGGAACTCAAGGCACCGCTACGTAGCCCTTTTATTTTTTAAGCGACCCTGGCTTATCACAAATTGATTGCTTGACGAAATGGGTGATATCGTCATCGTCGTCGTCACCTGTAAATTCATAACGCGTGACGTTGACTCTAAATGTGGAATAGAAAAACCAGAGAACCCGGAGAAAAATTAGTTAACATCTCCTGGCCAACATGATGATGATGAGAGAGACACGCAACTCCAAATATACAGCAGCAGGCGTCAGGGTCGGGATCAAACTCGCGACCTCCTGCATTCCGGCCGGGGTAGCTAACATCTCGCCAAATACAGCAGAGGTATTGTCAGGGGTCGGGATCGAACCCACGACGTCCTGCATACCGGGCGAGGTAGTTAACATCTCGGCAAATACAGGACGGGCATCGTCCAGGGTTCAGGATCGAACTCGCGCTCCCTGACGATAGCTGCTGCTGTATACAGTGAGGGAAAAAAAGTATTTGATCCCCTGCTGATTTTGTACGTTTGCCCACTGACGAAGAAATGATCAGTCTATAATTTTAATGGTAGGTTTATTTGAACAGTGAGAGACAGAATAACAGCAACAAATATCCAGAAAATCGCATGTCAAAAATGTTATAAATTGATTTGCATTTTAATGAGGGAAATAAGTATTTGACCCCTCTGCAAAACATGATTTAGTACTTGGTGGCAAAACCCTTGTTGGCAATCACAGAGGTCAGACGTTTCTTGTAGTTGGCCACCAGGTTTGCACACATCTCAGGAGGGATTTTGTCCCACTCCTCTTTGCAGATCTTCTCCAAGTCATTAAGGTTTCGAGGCTGACGTTTGCCAACTTGAACCTTCAGCTCCCTCCACAGATTTTCTATGGGATTAAGGTCTGGAGACTGGCTAGGCCACTCCAGGACCTTAATGTGCTTCTTCTTGAGCCACTTCTTTGTTGCCTTGGCCGTGTGTTTTGGGTCATTGTCATGCTGGAATACCCATCCACGACCCATTTTCAATGCCCTGGCTGAGGGAAGGAGGTTCTCACCCAAGATTTGATGGTACATGGCCCCGTCCATTGTCCCTTTGATGTGGTGAAGTTGTCCTGTCCCCTTAGCAGAAAAACACCCCCAAAGCATAATGTTTCCACCTCCATGTTTGACGGTGGGGATGGTGTTCTTGGGGTCATAGGCAGCATTCCTCCTCCTCCAAACACGGCGAGTTCAGTTGATGCCAAAGAGCTCAATTTTGGTCTCATCTGACCACAACACTTTCACCCAGTTGTCCTCTGAATCATTCAGATGTTCATTGGTAAACTTCAGACTGGCATGTCTATGTGCTTTCTTGAGCAGGGGGACCTTGCGGGCACTGCAGGATTTCAGTCCTTCACGGCGTAGTGTGTTACCAATTGTTTTCTTGGTGACTATGGTCCCAGCTGCCTTAAGATCATTGACAAGATCCTCCCGTGTAGTTCTGGGCTGATTCCTCACCGTTCTCATGATCATTCCAACTCCACGAGGTGAGATCTTGCATGGAGCCCCAGGCCGAGGGAGATTGACAGTTCTTTTGTGTTTCTTCCATTTGCGAATAATCGCACCAACTGTTGTCACCTTCTCACCAAGCTGCTTGGCAATGGTCTTGTAGCCCATTCCAGCCTTGTGTAGGTCTACAATCTTGTCCCTGACAACCTTGGAGAGCTCTTTGGTCTAGGCCATGGTGGAGAGTTTCGAATCTGATTGACTGCTTCTGTGGACAGGTGTCTTTTATACAGGTAACACGCTGAGATTAGGAGCACTCCCTTTATGAGTGTGCTCCTAATATCACCTCGTTACCTGTATAAAAGACACCTGGGAGCCAGAAACCTTTCTGATTGAGAGGGGGTCAAATACTTATTTCCCTTCATAATAGTAGTGAATTATTTGTCTTTTTGTCAACGTGACACCTTTTTTTGCTGATTGTCCGTGTCGGGTGGTGGAGGGTTACAACACATTTATAAATAAACGCGATCTAACCCAAAAACCTTTATTATGAATAATATTGGTCGTGAAAGCCTACATGTTAAACTGACTTATTTCCCTCATTAAAATGCAAATCAATTTATAACATTTTTGACAAGCGTTTTTTCTGGATGTTTTTGTTGTTATTCCATCTCTCACTGTTCAAATAAACCTACCATTAAAATTATAGACTGACCATTTCTTTGTCAGTGGGCAAACGTACAAAATCAGCAGGGGATCAAATACTTTTTTCCCTCACTGTATATGGAATCTGCGTCTCTCTCATCATCACCACCGCCACGGTAGCTAGGAGATGTTAACTACCTTGCCCGGTATACAGGAGGTCGGAGGTTCGTTCCCGACCCTGACTTCTGTATATTTCGAGTTCTCCCCGTGGTCGCGTGGATCTTTCTTGGGGTTTTCTGGTTTTTCCCTCCACAGTAACAATCGACATCATGCATTTTAGAGTATTTGCCTGCTGCTATATATTTTCACGCGATGACGATGATAAGCCGCCTCTTCATTGAGCTATCATTTGTGATGGCCAGGTCGCTCCTGAATAAGTAAAATTTTAAAATACTTAAAAAAAAGAACACGCTTTAATGAAATGTACCGTACGAGTAATGGCAGAACTCCAGGAAGTTGGCCCCTAAGCTTGCCCACAACGAAAGGGGGCCGTGGCCAATCACAGCCAACGTCAGTTGACCCTGGACAATTCGACCCAAGCCGAAACATAACATGTAAAAAAAGAACATTTAAAAATACATTTAAATTTTTTATGATAGAATATGGTATTGTCATCAGTATGACGTAAGTATAACCAAGTTATATTCTTAGTTTTTTCGGTAAAGTCACGTTGACTTTACCGGAAAAAGCTAAGAATATGAATTACTGCAGTCACGAAAGCTTTAAATCAAAATATAACCAAGTTAGTCGATACCACATTGGGAAGTGGGTTAACATTGAGTTACAAGATTTGAGGATGCAACAACGACAACAACAACAGACAGAGTGAGTTCATAGAAAGCGTGTAACAGCTCAGTGGGACCTTACATCTGGTGAAATAAATGAAGTAGTTTATACTTCGATTTAAAGCTTTCGTGACTGCAAGGATTCATCTTCTTTGGTTCTTTCGGTAAAGTCACCACCACCACGTAGAATGAGAATAAAATAATAAAGTAAAACGTCGTGGGAATTTTATTGTTTTATTTTATTATTTCATCCTCATTCTACGTGACTTTACCGAAAGAACCAAAGAAGAAGTAGTTTATAGTTTAGTGACTGATTGGAGCATTTTGTTTACGTGACAAACCTTACCCAAATCGGTTGCTCCGTGTGGTGGTGGCGGGTTCATGTGATATTCACGTGCTCTAACCCCGAAAAAATAAACACCCGTTTTATTAGAACTTATTGATTTGTGTTTGTCGCTGCTGCTCTTGTTGATGTTAACGATCTATGTTGTTGTTGTTGTGCCTGAAAGGTGACGAGTATTATAACTAAATTATTTGTGTTTGTTACCTCCGCTGCTGTTGTTGTTGTTGATGATGTTAACGATCTGTTGATCTTCTTTGGTTCTTTCGGTAAAGTCACGTGACTTTACCGAAAGAACCAAAGAAGATGAATCATTGCAGTCACGAAAGCTTTAAATCGAGATCTGTTGATCTGTTGTTGTGTTGTTGTGCTTGAAAGGTGACCGTGTATGATAACTAAATTATTTGTGTTTGTTACCTCCGCTGCTGTTGTTGTTGTTGATGATGTTAACGAGCTGTTGTTGTGTTGTTGTGCTTGAAAGGTGACCGTGTATGATAACTAAATTATTTGTGTTTGTTACCTCCGCTGCTGTTGTTGTTGTTGATGATGTTAACGATCTGTTGATCTGTTGTGTTGTTGTGCTTGAAAGGTGACCGTGTATTATAACTAAATTATTTGTGTTTGTTACCTCCGCTGCTGTTGTTGATGATGTTAACGATCTGTTGATCTGTTGTTGTGTTGTTGTGCTTGAAAGGTGACCGTGTATTATAACTAAATTATTTGTGTTTGTTACCTCCGCTGCTGTTGTTGTTGTTGATGATGTTAACGATCTGTTGATCTGTTGTTGTGTCTGAAAGGTGACCGTGTATGATAACTAAACTATTTGTGTTTCTCACTGCCGCTGCTGCTGTTGTTGATGTGTGTTGTTGTGTTGTGTTGTTGCCCCTGCAGGTGACCGTGTATTTGGGGAAGCGAGACTTTGTGGATCACCTGGAGCACGTCGATCCGGTCGGTACGTTCACACGTCAAGTTTTTATTTGTTTCCCCTCCTGCGACGTTCCAGCTGGGTCAAGAGGCTTTTTTTCCTACACCGGAACGGGGTGAGTGGGGTGCGGACGAGCGGTGCGTGGAGATGGAGCTGATGCGGTCAACGGGAGGATGTGGAGCTGTCGTGGACTTGCCACTGACCGGTACCAGCGGTGTCAAGATCGGCCTCTGTAGGGGTGGAGGAGAGGAGGCGGCCCGTGAAGGACCCTGCTACTGGAACGGTTGAGAGGCAGTCGCCCGCCAGCAACAATGGCACCTGCTGGGTCTGTCCCGTGACCTCCTGCACCTAGCCTGGCACAGTAGGGGGGGGGGGGGTAAAGCTGGTGGTGCATCTGCCACTCATCTCGGTCATCTCAGTCAGTCGACCCGTGGCACCTGCTGGGTCTGCCCCGTGACCTCCTGCCCGCGGGCGTTCGACACTTCACGCGATGGCCTCAAGGTGCACATGGCCTGGCACAAGCGTCGTGGTGACGTCACCACCACTTAGTGGCAAATGGCGGTTGTTGTCTATGTGTGTGTGTTTGTCTAAAATGCAGCAAGTTGGCACAGTGGAGGGTACAGCTGGTGGTGCATCTACCGGTGGTCATCTCAGTCAGACAACCCATGGCACCTGCTGGGTCTATCCCGAGACCTCCTGCACCTAGCCTGGCACAGTAAGGGGGTACAGCTGGTGGTGCATCTACCGGTGGTCATCTCAGTCAGACAACCCATGGCACCTGCAGGGTCTGTCCCCGTGACCTCCTGCACCTAGCCTGGCACAGGTGGTGCATCTGTCGGTCATCTCGGTCAGACAACCCATGGCACCTGCTGGGTCTGTCCCGAGACCTCATGCACCTAGCCTGGCACAGTAAGGGGGTACAGCTGGTGGTGCATCTACCGGTGGTCATCTCAGTCAGACAACCCATGGCACCTGCAGGGTCTGTCCCCGTGACCTCCTGCACCTAGCCTGGCACAGGTGGTGCATCTGCCGGTCTTCTCAGTTGGGTCAACCCTTGGCACCTGGGTCCCTACCTGTGACTTCCTGCACCTAGCCTGGCACAGTAGGGGGCACAGGTGGTACATCTGCCAATCTTCTCAGTCGGTCAACCCGTGGCACCTGCTGGGTCTGCCCCGTGACCTACTGCCAGCCGGCGTTGCGACGCTTCACGTGGTAGCCTCAAAGTGCACCTAGCCTGGCACAGGCGCCGTGGTGATGTCACCGCCTGCTTAGTAGCGAGTTTGCGGCCGCTGTTGTGGTTGTGGGTGGGGGGGGGGAAGTGGTGGGGCATCGCTTTCCCAACTCGCTCTTCGCCGCCATGTGAGGGTTAACGTTTGTCACGTGACGGTCAGGCCTGCTGGACATCCGGGTGGGTGGCGTAGGAGGGGTGGGGGAGGGGGGGTGGCGAAAGAGCTTTGCAGCTCATCGGATTTCTCCGGGAAAAAAATATTTTTATTGATCCAAATCCAACCGCAGGGTGGGTGGGTTTTGGTGTGTGGGTGTTGTGGGTTTGGGTGTGTGGATGTGCGGGTTTTGGTGTGTGGGTTTGGGTGTGTGGGTGTTGTGGCTTTGGGTGTGTGGGTTTGGGTGTGTGGGTGGGTGTGTGGGTTTGGGTGTGTGGGTTTGGGTGTGTGGGTTTGGGTGTGTGGGTGGGTTTGTGGGTTTGGGTGTGTGGGTTTGGGTGTGTGGGTTTGTGGGTTTGGGTGTGTGGGTGTGTGGGTTTGGGTGTGTGGGTGTGTGGGTTTGGGTGTGTGGGTTTGGGTGTGTGGGTGTGTGGGTGTGTGGGTTTTGGTGTGTGGGTGTGTGGGTTTGGGTGTGTGGGTGTGTGGTTTTGGGTGTGTGGGTGTGTGGGTGTGTGGGTGGGTGTGTGGGTGTGTGGGTTTGGGTGTGTAGGTTTGGGTTTGTGGGTTTGGGTGTGTGGCTTTGGGTGTGTGTGTTTGGGTGCTTGGGTTTGGGTGTGTGGGTTTGGGTGTGTGGGTTTGGGTTTGTGGGTTTGGGTGTGTGGGTTTTGGTGTGTGGGTGTGCGGGTTTTGATGTGTGGGTGTGTGGGTTTGGGTGTGGGTGGGTTTGGGTGTGTGGGTTTGGGTGTGTGGGTGTGTGGGTTTGGGTGTTTGGGTGTGTGGGTTTGGGTGTGTGGGTGTGTGGGTTTGGGTGTGTGGGTTTGGGTGTCTGGGTGTGTGGGTTTGGGTGTGTGGGTGTGTGGGTTTGGGTGTTGTGGCTTTGGGTGTGTGGGTTTGGGTGTGTGGGTGTGTGGGATTGGGTGTGTGGGTTTGGGTATGTGGGTTTGGGTGCGTGGGTTTGGGTGTGTGGGTGCGTGGGTTTGGGTGTGTGGGTGTGTGGGTTTGGGTGTGTGGGTTTGGGTGTGTGGGTTTGGGTGTGTGGGTTTGGGTGCGTGGGTGTGTGGGTTTGGGTGTGTGGGTGTGTGGGTTTGGGTGTGTGGGTGTGTGGGTTTGGGTGTACAACCTCTGCAACGGGTGAGTGACTCGCAGCGGGAATAGGCGGCTCTGAACGACGACCACCGTGGTCGAGTGGGGCTGTAGCGTGATGCGGTACCGTGCGGCGGATCCCTTTTCTTGGGCTGAAGGACTGTTAGCGCTGCGGTGAGGCGACGGACCCGACAACTCGAGTTCGATTCCTGTGCACGGCCAACGCCGGTGACGATTATCTGGACCGCTCCGAGGCCTCCCCGAGGTCGACTCATCTCAAATGACTGCTTGGTGCGGGGTGTTGTCAACATCGCTACTCGGCAGACAAAGGCGGCCGGGCGTGGTGGTGCTGGCCACCCACGCCCTCGTGTAACAAACAGCGCCGCTAGCCTTCATAGGCGCTGCTCGCAAACGGCACTTACCCGAACAGCCGCTTAAGGCTGTACGGGGGATCTTTGTCTTTGGTGGTTGTCGTGGTGGTGGTTGTGGTGGTTGTGGTGGTGGTTGTTGGTGCATCTGTGCCTTGTTTTTTTGTTTCCACAGACGGTGTTGTTTTGGTCGATCCCGAGTACCTGAAAGAGAGGAAAGGTGAGTGTAACCTGCAGCAGCAGCAGTAGTAGTAGCAGCAGTAGTAGCAGCAGCAGTAGTAGTAGTAGCGGTAGTAGTAGCAGCAGTAGTAGTAGCAGCAGTAGTAGTAGTAGCAGCAGTAGTAGTAGCAGCAGCAGCAGTAGTGGTAGCAGCAGCAGCAGTAGTAGTAGCAGCAGTAGTAGTAGTAGCAGCAGTAGCAGCAGCAGTAGTAGCAGCAGCAGTAGTAGTAGCAGCAGCAGTAGTAGTAGTAGTAGCAGCAGTAGTAGTAGCAGCAGTAGCAGCAGCAGTAGTAGCAGTAGCAGCAGCAGCAACAACAACTAATATACACGCAGATCTCATTATCAGCAGCAGCACCGGCCTGGTTAGCGAAGCCTCGCCTGACTTCGAATAATAAGAACAATGATATATAAAAAGTACAGTCTGCTCCCCTGTAACAACGTGGTAGGGGCAGCAGCTGCATTCCTGAAGAACACACTACAATACACACTACACTATACACTACAAAAGTGACATTTCGATAAAATATACTATGGGGGGAGGGTAAAGCACTGAGGGCGCGTGTGGTGGGGGTAGCCATCTGGATGCATCCAGCAGCATCCCAATGCATCGTGCGATGACGATGACGATCCTTTGCCTAGGCCTAGCCGTCACAACCGCCGCCTATTCCAACTCGCGCTGTGACGTAGTCGTTCCATTCGCCCTCAAATCGCGCCGTATATATCCGGGCCGAACAAAGACTGAGGGTGCGCGTGGCGGGTGGCATCTGCTAGCAGCGTCCGGCGGCATACCAATGCCTCGTGCGATGACGATGACGTTGACGACGCCGGCGCTAAGCCGAGGCGGTTCGCTACGACTGCTGCCGCTTACCGCAACTCGCGCTGCGACATCGAAGTTCCGTAACCCCTCTATCGGCTTCCGTCCCCGTTTCAAACAACAACAACAACAAAAACGCGTTTCCCTATCACGCATCCGTCAAAAAACAACACGCAGCGTTGTAGGAGTAATGGGCCCCCGTATCTCAAAGCGCTGAGTAGACCAACGGCCCTCCTCCCCTGCTCCTCACCACCCCCGCCCACCACCACCACCACCCCCCCACCACCACCACCACCACCACCCCCCCACCACCACCACCACCACCCCCCCACCACCACCGCCTCCTCCGAACCGTCGCGGCCGCAGTGTTCGTGACGCTGACGTGCGCCTTCCGCTACGGGCGCGAGGACCTGGACGTGCTGGGCCTGACGTTCCGCAAGGACCTCTACCTGAGCACGGTGCAGGTCTACCCGCCCAGCGGCGGCGGCGGCGCCGGCGGTGGCGGCGCCGGCAACGCCGCCGGCAATGACGGCGGTGGCGGCGAGGATGGGGCCAAGCCAAGCACGCGCCTGCAAGAGCGCCTCATCCGCAAGATCGGGGACCACGCTCACCCCTTCACCTTCCAGGTGGACGTCGTCGCCACGGCGATGGTGGTGGTGTGGTGGGGTTTGGGGCGGGGGCGGTGGGTAGGTTGGGGCTGGCTGGGTCGGCCGTCTGTGGGACGCTCTTCCGATATGAGGAAGCCACTGATACCCATGGACTCATCATGAAGAGACTCGTAGACCTCGCCACACAAAAGACCCATAGACTCATCACATAGAGAGTCACAGACTCATCACACAGAGACCCGCAGACTCGCCACACAGAGACTCATAGACTAATGAAATAGAGAGTCATAGACTCATCACACAAAGACCCATAGACTAATCACACAGAGACCCATAGACTCATCACACAGAGACCCATAGACTCATCACACAGAGACCCATAGACTCATCACATAGAGAGTCACAGACTCATCACACAGAGACCTGCAGACTCATCACACAGAAACTCATAGACTCGCCACACAGAGACTCATAGACTAATGAAATAGAGAGTCATAGACTCATCACACAAAGACCCATAGACTAATCACAGAGAGAGTCATAGACTAATCACATAGAGATTCACAGACTCATCACACAGAGACCCGCAGACTCATCACACAGAGACCCACAGACTCATCACACAGAGACCCATAGACTCACCACACAGAGACCCACAGACTCATCACACAGAGACCCCTAGACTCATCACACAGAGACCCACAGACTCATCACACAGAGACCCACAGACTCATCACACAGAGACCCCTAGACTCATCACACAGAGACCCGCAGACTCATCACACAGAGACCCACAGACTCATCACACAGAGACCCATAGACTCATCACACAGAGACCCACAGACTCACACATGGCATCGCTGCTTTCAGATGCGCTTCAGCGGCCGTCTGGAACGTTCTTCCGATATTAGAAAGCCACTGGCAGCTATGTTACACTTTTAAATCATCGAGATTGACAAACTCATTTCTTTACAACTGCTTGTTCTTATTGTTTCTTTTGTTGTCCTTCCCACGCCCGCACCTCCGATTAGCGACGGTTGGCTATGTACAGTGCGAAATAAGTTTTACATACATACACCACACTCTACACTACAATACACACTACACTCTACACTACATACTACGCTACACACTACACTTTGCACTACAATACACACTACACTATATACTGCAAACTACATTACACACTACGCTGCACACTACACTGTACACTACAATACACACTACACTACACACTACAATACACTCTACACTATACACTACACTATACACTACACTATAAACTGCACTATACACTACACTATACACTACACTACACACTACACTACACTATACACTACAATACACACTACACTATACACGACAGACTACGTTACCCACTACACTATACACTACAATACACACTACAATACACACTACCATAAACACTACGCACTACACTACACACTACACTATACACTACATTACACACTACACTATATACTGCAAACTACAATACACACTACACTACACACTACAATACACACTACACTCTACACTACACTATAAACTACACTATACACTACACTATACACTACACTATACAACTACACACTACACTACACACTACACTATACACTACAATACACACTACGCTATACACGACAGACTACGTTACCCACTACACTATACACTACAATACACACTACAATACACACTACCATAAACACTACGCACTACACTACACACTACACTATACACTACATTACACACTACACTATATACTGCAAACTACATTACACACTACGCTGCACACTACACTGTACACTACAATACACACTACACTACACACTACAATACACACTACACTCTACACTACACTATAAACTACACTATACACTACACTATACACTACAACTACACACTACACTACACACTACACTATACACTACAATACACACTACACTATACACGACAGACTACGTTACCCACTACACTATACACTACAATACACACTACAATACACACTACCATAAACACTACGCACTACACTACACACTACACTATACACTACATTACACACTACACTATATACTGCAAACTACATTACACACTACGCTGCACACTACACTGTACACTACAATACACACTACACTACACACTACAATACACACTACACTATACACTACACTATACACTACACTAAAAACTACACTATACACTACACTATACACTACAATACACACTACACTATACACGACAGACTACGTTACCCACTACACTATACACTACAATACACACTACAATACACACTACCATAAACACTACCATAAACACTACACTCCACACTACACTATACACTACAATACACACTACAATACACACTACAATACACACTACCATAAACACTACCATAAACACTACACTACAGTACACACTACACTATACACCACGGTGAGAAAGAAGTTCTACACACACACACGCACACGCACGTACGCGGCGTGCGTGCGCGCGCAATGACTCGGACGTTTCATACCTCCCTGTGCCACAGTTACCGCAAAACCTGCCATGCTCCGTCACTCTGCAGCCTGGGCCCGAAGACACCGGCAAGGTAACGCCCTCCCGTGTCACCATCCCATCGGTGAGCCACTGCGGCAGGAGGCACGGAGGCTGCGTTGGCTGGGTCACGTCTGGCCGGATAGAGGGTGGGGGGGGGGATAAACGGGGCATGGCACGGGTTGGAGATGAGATGGGGGGCTGATGGGTGAGTGGATGGGTGTGGGTCGGTGGTGGGTTAGTGGGTGGGTGAGTGGGTGAGTGGTGGGTGAGTGGGTGGGTGGGTGAGTGGATGGGTGTGGGTGAGTGGTGGGTGAGTGGTGGGTGAGTGGGTGAGTGGGTGGGTGGGTGAGTGGATGGGTGTGGGTGAGTGGTGGGTGAGTGGGTGAGTGGATGGGTGTGGGTGAGTGGTGGGTGAGTGGTGAGTGGGTGGGTGAGTGAGTGGATGGGTGGGTGAGTGGATGGGTGTGGGTGAGTGGGTGGGTGGGTCAGTGGCACAGGCTGGAGAAGAGATGGGGGCTGATGGGTGAGTGGGTGAGTGGGTGAATGGGTGGGTGGGTGAGTGGATGGGTGTGGGTGAGTGGTGGGTGAGTGGTGAGTGGGTGGGTGTGGGTGAGTGGGTGGGTGGATGAGTGGCACTGGCTGGAGAAGAGATATGGGGGCTGATGGGTCAGTGGGTGAGTGGATGGGTGTGGGTGAGTGGTGGGTGGGTGAGTGGCACTGGCTGGAGGAGAGATGGGTGAGTGGGTGGGTCAGTGGGTGAGTGGTGGGTGGGTGAGTGGGTGAGTGGTGGGTGGGTGAGTGGCACTGGCTTGAGGAGAGATGGGTGGGTGGTTGGGTGAGTGGATGGGTGTGGGTGAGTGGGTGGGTGGGTCAGTGGCACTGGCTAGAGAAGAGATGGAGTGATGTGGTTGCGAGAGGACGTGGAGCTGAGTGGACTTGCCGATGACTGGTACCAGCGGTGTCAAGATCGGCCTCTGCGGAGGAGGCTCGTGAAGGACGCTGCTACTGGGCAGTTGGAGGCAGTCGCCCTCGAACAACAACGGAGGGCAGAGGAGCGACGCTCAGAACAACGAGCGGAGCGACGGGTGGCTAAAGCACAGCAGGTTGGCACAGTAGGGGGCGTAGGTGGTGCATCAGCCAGTCATCTCAGTCAGTCAACAAATGGAACCTGGGTCTGTCCCGTGACCTCCTGCCAGCGGGCGTTCGACACTTCACCTGGCCTTAACATGCACGTAGCCTGGCACAAGCGCCGTGGTGACGTCACCGTCATGAAACGTAGAATGGCGGGGATTGGTATATCTAACACGTAGGCATTGATGAGCAATATTATTCATAATAAAGGTTTTTGGGTTAGATCGCGTAAGCATAAATGTTGTGTCCGTAACCCTCCACCACCCGACATAGCGAATTAGTGAGGGATTTGTTGCGTAAACAAAACGCCAATTAGTTACTAGTATACTGTACAGTGTAGTAGTGTAGTGTGTCGTGTATAGTGTAGTGTGTCGTGTATAGTGTAGTGTGTCGTGTATAGTATAGTGTATAGTTGTATAGTAGTGTAGTGTATAGTTTTATAGTGTATAGTAGTGTAGTGTATAGTTGTATAGTGTATAGTAGTGTAGTGTACAGTTGTATAGTGTATAGTAGTGTAGTGTTGTATAGTATAGTAGTGTAGTGTGTAGTGTATAGTGTAGTGTATAGTGTATAGTAGTGTTGTATAGTAGTGTAGTGTATAGTGTAGTGTATAGTGTAGTGTATAGTTTAGTGTATAGTGTATAGTAGTGTTGTATAGTATAGTAGTGTATAGTGTAGTGTACTACTTCAGCCCACCGGTGTGTTGGAGAGCAAAATACTCAAATTGTAAATGCTGTGAATGTACTTTCCAACACATCGGTGTGCTGTAATAGTACACTACATTATATACCACACTACTACACACCACTCGTAGTAACTTCATACGATGTTTTACTCTCTAATACACCGGTGGGCTGAAGTTGTAGTACACTACACCATAGACTACACCACGATACGCTATGCTAGTGTCGTGGGTATAAAACTGCGGAGACTTCTCTCATCTGGAGGCAGCACGGTTATTATAACACTAGCGGGAAGTGCCCGTGGTTTGCCCCCGGGGTTGGAAAATATATATTTAAAAACTTACCAAAACTTAAAAACATAACATGTACAAATGAAGAAAAAAATCTTTACGCTCGTGCGCCAAGATTCGATTCTTTAAATCGCGCAAAGGAATCGAAGGTTGTAGATTTCTTTAGAATCGGCCTATTCCCGTTTAATCGATACCACAAATGCTCACCAGATATCGATTATCGTCAGTCCTGTATGCGGGTTGACACCACACACTTAATGGTCATTCCCCCCCCCCCCCCCCCCCAAATACAAAAATATATTTTTATACTTTTTGCATTGTGTACAGTCTGGAAGCTACCCACATGCCAAATTTCAAGTTTGTTGCATGTTTGGAAGTACGCTAAACATTTCGAACAGACACACATTCACAAATTTCCCTTTTTTATATATATACACAGTAGAACCTTGGATTGCGAGGATGATTCGTTCCGGAAACGTGCTTGTAATCCAAAGCACTCGTATATCAAAGCACGCCCGTAGTATATCAGTTGTGATCACGGTGACGCTCGCTGAGACCAAGCGTACTACACGTCCGCTGCTCGTATTTGCAAGACCCTCGCTCGTTTATCAAGTAAATATTCATTTTAAAATTTCTGCTCGTCTTGCAAAACACTCGCAGGCCAAGTTACTCGCAATCCACAAGGTTTTCGCTGTTTATAGATAATAACAGTAACACAAAGGGGTACGGGCCCCTTCCACCCGATACTTAGGGAGGAGGTATTCCCTCCGGCTCGCCTGCCTAACGCTGCCTATGCTTGAGCCTCTTCACTGGTTCAGCTTTTGGCCCCGACCCTAGCCAGGGATCTCGGGTTCAGCCCTTTGGGCTCTTCGCTTCGGGTCTTCAAGGGCCCGTCCCGTTCGGGGGGCCGTCTTTCATACCGGATTCTGGCCGACTCCGCCCCTAGCCACTCCTCCCTTCTGGAACCGTCTGGAAGGTCCTGGGGAGTGGCGTTGTCCCCCGGCCCCCTTCCTGGGGGTCTGGGGCTTTGTGGCTGTGGTCCCGAGCTGCCTTAGGGGGTTACCTTGGCCCAACGGCCTGACTCATCGCCCTGAGACTCCCTTCCGCTTCCCGTTGACTCGAGGCCGTTGCTACAGGCTACGGGTAGTGGCAATCGCCTACAGCCCTCGACGATGGCGCTACACCAGTAACTATTTGGCGTTTTTTTTTGTTTGTTTGTTTACGAGACAAATCCCTCACGCGTTGGCTGTGTCGGGTGGTGAAGGGTTACGACACAACATTCATGCTTAATGCGACCTAACCCCCCCAAAAAAACCTTTATTTATGAATTGGTATATCTGTTGCACTTCCAGACTTCTGGCCGCATCGCTCATAGGTGTTTTCGGTGAAGTCCATGTATGTAGAAATACAATAAAATTATGTTAAAACAAAAAAACACAATCGCGACGTTTCGATCACAACGCAAGCGACCTTCGTCAGGTGCCAAGAACAAATCACGGAGGTAAATACAAACACAAAAAGATGAGAGACGAGAATTCAACAAACCTGAAATAAACATTACGTGAAGCACATCCAGTCAGGCCAACAACACGGTTAGACACTTCCTGGCGGACCACGAATTTCAGAAGAGTGTTACATTTCGTGTTCAACCTTTGGATTGCAGCATACCAGCATAGATAGAATGAAAAATACGAGGTACACGGTCAGTAGAAATACATATATACAAGTCCAGCAAGAGGTAAGGAGGGAGGAAAGACGGACAGGGAGGCAGGGAGAGAGAGAGAGAGAGGGATGAACAGAAGCTTAAATAGGAAATATGGTTGGAGGGGTGGAGGGGCCAGAGCGAGAGCGGCAGCTGCATGCTTGTACCCTCCTCCTCCTCCTCTGCCATCGCGAGAGCTTCATCCGAACCAAGAGCTCTATGTGCGACGGGTCCTTCGCCAGGCGGCTTATTGCCTATCGCCCTCCCCCTTGATGTCCCTAAGATCTGGGGACGGAGAGATCTTCGCTGTGTTCCCAAGGTCGAGGTTTCGGTCTGCTGTGAGGGTGGGCCCGAGATTCCTATCCCCCCGTGTAGCCCCCCCCCCCAGGCTGCACGGGGGCCTCTCTTCCACGAGATAACCGGTGGATCTCTCCGAGCCTGCGGACAATTTAAAACACAAATGCGCCTCCAAACCCACACGTACGCTTCCGCTTCATATCAACTTTTACGTTCATTCGGTAAATGTTTCTTAACAATGTATTTGCTGAGCATCTGCTGCTGCTGCTGCTGCTGCTGATGTTGTTGTGTCCTGTACGGCACTTTGAGATCCTTGATGAACAGCGCGAGATAAATAATAATAATAATAATCATGATGATGATGATGATGTTAGGGATGTGGGTGCTGCTCTACGCTTAGGACGTGCAGTCTCTGTGTGTGTGTGTGTGTGTTATCTCAACTGTGATGTTCCGACTTCGGGTACTCGAGTTACAGTTCGTGATTTTAAAACAGTTTCGCGTTGTTGTTGCTGCTGCTGCTGCTGCTGTGGCTGTTGCTTTTGTTGCTGCTGCTGTTGTTGCTGCTGTTGTTGTTGCTGCTATTGCTGCTGTTGCTGCTATTGTTGTTGTTGCTGCGGCTGTTGTTGCTACTGCTGTTGCTGCTGCTTCTGTTGTTGCTGCTGCTGTTGTTGTTGCTTCTGATTCTGTTGATGCTGTTGTTGCTACTGCTGTTGCTGCTGCTGTTGCTGCTGCTTCTGTTGTTGCTTCTGATTCTGTTGCTGCTGCTTCTGTTGTTGCTTCTGATTCTGTTGCTGCTGCTTCTGTTGTTGCTTCTGATTCTGTTGATGCTGTTGTTGCTGCTGCTGCTGTTGTTGTTGCTTCTGATTCTGTTGATGCTGTTGTTGCTGCTGCTGCTGTTGTTGTTGCTTCTGATTCTGTTGATGCTGTTGTTGCTGCTGCTGTTGTTGTTGCTGCTGCTTCTGTTGCTGCTGCTGCTTCTGTTGCTGCTGCTGCTGCTGTTGTTGTGGCTGCTGCTGTTGTTGTTGTTCAGGCGTGCGGCGTGGATTTCGAAGTGAAAGCTTTCTGCGCGGAAAACCTCGAAGAGAAAATCCACAAAAGGTGAAAACGAGGGCGGCCGGGGATGCGGATTTTTGTCGAATCTGTCCGTGCGGGGGGCGGTGGAGTGTGCACACGTTGGTGGCACGTTTATCCCGGGGGGGGGGAGGTTCTCCGGTCTCCTCACACACGCACGAAGCCCCAGTTCCGTTCCAAAATATTCCGGCGTTCGGATGTTTAGGAAGCCACTGGGAGCTATCCGCTTTTAAATCGTCTCGATTGACAAACTAATTTCGTTTGTATTTGGTTTGTTGTCCTTCCCCCCCCGCCCCTGCACCTCCGATTAGCGCGGTTGGATACGTATGGTGCGAAAAAAGTTCAACATATTTAGATAGACCCACAGACTCGTCACATATAGACCCACAGACTCATCGCACAGAGACCCATAGACTCACCACACAGAGACCTATAGACTCATCGCACAGAGACCCAAAGACTCGTCACACATAGACCCACAGACTCATCGCACAGAGACCCATAGACTCATCACACAGAGACCCATAGACTCATCACACAGAGACCCATAGACTCATCACACAGAGACCCATAGACTCATCACACAGAGACCCATAGACTCGTCACACAAAGACCCATAGACTCATCACATAGAGACCCATAGACTCATCACACAGAGACCCGTAGACTCATCACGCAGAGACCCATAGACTCATCACACAGAGACCCATAGACTCATCACACAGAGACCCATAGACTCATCACACAGAGACCCATAGACTCATCACACAGAGACCCATAGACTCGTCACACAGAGACCCATAGACTCATCACACAGAGACCCATAGACTCATCACACAGAGACCCATAGACTCATCACACAGAGACCCATAGACTCGTCACACAGAGACCCATAGACTCGTCACACCGAGATCCATAGACTCGTCACACAGACCCACAGACTCACACACTGCATAGCACACTTTCAAATGCTCTTCTGCGGCCGTCTGGAACGCTCTTCCTTCCAATGTTAGGAAGCCACTGGGAGCTAAGCTACACGTTTAAATCGTCATAATCTAGATTGGCAAACTCATTTCTTTAGAACTGCTTGTTGTGTGTTAGTTTTCGATTTAAAGCTTTCGTGACTGCAATGATTCATCTTCTTTGGTTCTTTCGGTAAAGTCACGTAGAATGAGAATAAAATAATAACTTGATAGAATAAAATAACACAATAATATTCTCACGACGTTTCGGCCACAACACAAGCGGCCTTCATCAGGTGAAGGGACGAGACTGTCTGGTAGGACTCCAGCGCTGTCCTACCAGACAGTCTCGTCCCTTCACCTGATGAAGGCCGCTTGTGTTGTGGCCGAAACGTCGTGAGAATATTATTGTGTTATGTTATTTTATCAATTTATTATTTTATTCTCATTCTACGTTACTTTACCGAAAGAACCAAAGAAGGTGTGTTAGTTTGTTGTCCTTCTCCCCCCCCCTCCGCACCTCCGATTAGCGCGATTGGCTACGTACGGTGCGAAAGAAGTTCTTTGTACGTACAAAATGTAATTCATGGCCAAACATCCCAATGTAGCGGCACCCTCCTTAGTGAACGGTCTTGAGACTCGGTCGAGGATTTCCCGACTACCTCGCCTGGTACACAGGAGGTCGTGGGTTCGATCCTGACCCCGATGATGCCTGCTCTGTATTTGGAGTCTGCGTGTCTCTCTCTCCGTGGTCGTGTGGATTTAGAATCAACATCGCACGTTTAGAGTATTTAGCTGCTGCTATAAATGTCTATGTGGTGATGATGATGATGATGATAAGCTGGCGGATCGTTGGGCTATCATTTGTAATGGCCGGGCCGCCGCGTCTGACAAAGAGCGACGTATCAGTTCGGCGGGGGCCTTGCCTGGTAGGTAGGTAAAAAAAAAATAAAAACGAATTTCAGATGAGTTTAAAGAGTGCACGAAATGATTTCGGCTCGATGTGGGAAGGACTTGTGATGGGGCTGAACGCGATTATACCGCTCGCGAATGAGCCGCTCGGCACGATGCGGACCCCCGTGCGTTCGCAGGGGAACTCGCTTTCCCACACGCGCTTTGATTTAACCCGCTCTGTCTGTTGTATCGTCTAATCTTGTAACTCAATTTTTCCCCAACTTCCCCAGTGTGGTATCGACTGGAAAACTCGGGTTGTGCTCACGCCATACCGATGGCAATTACAGTAAAACCTTTGGATTGCGAGCGCAAGTCGTTTTGCGGAAACCGTGTTTTGTAATCCAAAGCGCCCGTACGTCAAAGCGCTCCCGCAGCGTATCGGTTGTGATCACGTGACGCTCGGCGAGACGAAGCGTACTTACACGTCACGTCGCTCGTACTTGCAAGACCCTCGCTCGTTTATCAAGTTATTATATTCATTTACACAAATCTGCTCGTCTTGCAAAAAACACTGGCAGGCCAAGTTGCTCGCAGTCCACAAGGTTTTACTGCACTACATTCTTTAATCAAAAATTAAAAAAAAATATTTTAAAAATTATTTTACACGCTTTTTAGAAACTCTGTTGTTGTTGTTGTTGTTGCATCCTCAAATCTTGTGTAACTCAATTGTAACCCACTTCCCAATGTGGTGTCGACTGAAAACTTGGTTATACTTACGTCATGCCGATGACAATAACTATATTATATCATTCATTAAAAATACAAAAAAAATTACATATTTTTCAACAATCTTTTTTACACGTTATGTTTCGGCTTGGGTCTAATTGTCCGCGGTCAACTCACGTTGGCTGTAAATCACCACGGGGGGGGGGGGGTCCCCCTTACGTAGTGGCCAAGCTTCGGGGCCAACTTCCTGGAGCCGTGGAGTTCTGCCATTGCTCGTACGGTACATTTCATTAAAGCGTGTTCTTTAAAAAAAAGTTTTGTTTTTTTACAATATTACTTATATATTTTTTTTAATCCAGACCGGTGCTGTCACTGTGTGACTCGCCAGGTGTTAAAGCATTCGGCAAGCGGATTAATGATGCGTTAACCTCTCCCCACCGCCCCCGCTCGGCAGGAATTCTGTGCGTCTGGTGATCCGCAAGGTGCAGTACGCTCCGGAGAAACCGGGGCCACAGCCCACGGCGGAGACCACGCGCGTCTTCCTCATGTCGGACAAGCCCCTACACCTGGAGGCCTCGCTTGACAAAGAGGTGACGCCTCCTCCTCACCCTCCTCCTCCTCCTCACCCTCCTCCTCACCCTCCTCCTCACCCTCACCCTCCTCACCCTTCTCTTCACCCTCCTCACCCTACTCCTCCTCACCCTCCTCACCCTCACCCTCCTCACCCTCACCCTCCTCACCCTCACCCTCCTCACCCTCCTCACCCTCACCCTCCTCACCCTCACCCTCCTCCTCCTCACCCTCACCCTCCTCACCCTCCTCACCCTCCTCCTCCTCACCCTCACCCTCCTCCTCCTCACCCTCCTCCTCCTCACCCTCCTCCTCCTCACCCTCACCCTCACCTCCTCACCCTCCTCACCCTCCTCCTCACCCTCCTCACCCTCCTCCTCCTCACCCTCACCCTCCTCCTCACCCTCCTCCTTCTCCTCCTCCCCCTCTTCTCCTCACCCTCCTCCTCATGCTCCTCACCCTCCTCACCCTCCTCACCCTTCTCACCCTCCTCCTCACCCTCCTCCTCACCCTCCTCCCCCTCCTCCTCCTCATGCTCCTCCTTACGCTCCTCCTCCTTATCTTCACCTCATTGTCACCCTCCTCACCCTCCTCCTCAACTTCACCTCCTCATTGTCACCCTCCTCACCCTCCTCCTCCTCACCTTCCTCCTCCTCACCTTCACATCCTCACCCTCCTCCACACCCTCCTCCACACCCTCCTCCTCACGCTCCTCTTCCACACCCTCCTCACCAGCCTTCTCCTCACCTTCTTCCACCTCCTCATCCTCACCCTCCTCCTCCTCACCTTCACCTCCTCACCCTCCTCCTCACCCTCCTCCTCACCCTCCCCCTCCTCACCCTCCCCCTTCTCATCCTCACCCTCATCCTCACCCTCATCCTCACCCTCCTCACCATCATCCTCCTCCTCACCTCCTCATCCTCACCCTCCTCTTCCACACCCTCCTCACCATCCTTCTCCTCACCTTCTTCCACCTCCTCATCCTCACCCTCCTCCTCGCCTACCTCCTCCTTCCGACCCACCTGGTAAAATAAAAAAAATTGTTTAGTTTATAGAATCAACGTCGTGCGTTTAGAGTATTTGGCTGCTATGAATGTCCACACGATGATGATGATCCGCCACTTGGTCCGGCTATCATTTGGTGGGGCCTTACACCTGGCAAAAATAAAAATAGTCTAGTTACATTTCGATTTAAAGCTTTCGTGACTGCAATGATTCATCTTCTTTGGTTCTTTCGGTAAAGTCACCACCACGTAGAATGAGAATAAAATAATAAAATTTATCAAATAAAATAACACAATAATATTCTCACGACGTTTCGGCCACAACACAAGCGGCCTTCATCAGGTGAAGGGGGCGAGACTGTCTGCTAGGACAGCGCTGGAGTGAAAGAGCCACGTTCAGATCACGACCTTTAAGCTGTGTGAGAGGAAACAAAGCGCTGTCCTACCAGACAGTCTCGTCCCTTCACCTGATGAAGGCCGCTTGTGTTGTGGCCGAAACGTCGTGAGAATATTATTGTGTTATTTTATTTTATCAATTTATTATTTTATTCTCATTCTACGTGGTGGCGACTTTACCGAAAGAACCAAAGAAGATAGTCTCGTTACAGTATGGGGTCTCGATGAGTGTGGGTCTCTGTGGGTCTCTGTGACGAGTATGGGTCTGTTTTGGGTTTCTGTGGGTCTCTGTGCCTCAAATTCTAAATGCTGTGTCGTGGGTTTAGTGCTGAACTTAGCGACTAATTGGCTACAGGGCCCCCCGCACTAGCTTCATCCGGCACTGGGTGCAAACGGTTCTAAGTTTTTGTTGTTGTTGACGAACGCCGTCGGTCGATGTTTTGTCCTCCCGCCACTGCCCCATCCCCCCGGGAGCAGATTTACTACCACGGGGAGCCGATCAACGTCAACGTCCACGTCACCAACAACTCGAACAAGACGGTGAAGAAAATCAAGATCTCCGGTCGGTGTCCGTGGCGGGCGACATCGCGAGCGGCGCGCGTGACCCCGCGCGCTCGGACACTCTGTCCTCGCTGTCCTTGTCTCGCTGTCTGTCTGTCTAGCCGTCGGTGTGAGTGTCTGGCTGTCTGTGTGTGTGTGTGTTTCTAGCTGTGTGTGTGAGTGTCTAGCTCTGTGTGTGTGTGTGTCTAGCTGTGTCTGTGTGTGTCTAGCTGTATCTGTGTGTGTTTAGCTGTGTGTGTGCGTGTCTAGTTGTGTGTGAGTTTCTAGCTGTGTCTGTGTGTGTGTCTAGCTGTGTGTGTGAGTGTTTAGCTGTGTGTGTATGTATCTAGCTGTGTCTGTGTGAGTGTCTAGCTGTGTCTGTGTGTTTGTCTAGCTTTGTCTGTGTGTGTGTCTAGCTGTGTCTGTGTGTGTTTCTAGCTGTGTGTGTGAGTGTCTAGCTGTGTGTGTGTGTGTCTAGCTGTGTCTGTGTGTTTGTCTAGCTGTGTGTGCGTCTAGCTGTGTGTGTGTGTCTATCTGTTTGTGTGTGTCTATCTGTGTGTGTGTTTCTAGCTGTGTGTGTGAGTGTCTAGCTGTGTCTCTGTGTGTGTCTAGCTGTGTGTGTGAATGTCTAGCTGTGTGTGTGAGTGTCTAGCTGTGTGTGTGAGTGTCTAGCTGTCTGTGTGTGTATCTAGCTGTGTCTGTGTGTGTGTCTAGCTGTGTCTGTGTGTGTGTCTAGCTGTGTGTGTGTTTAGCTGTGTGTGTGAGTGTTTAGCTGTGTCTGTGTGAGTGTCTAGCTGTGTCTGTGTGTGTGCGTGTAGCTGTGTGTGTGAATGTCTAGCTGTGTGTGTGAGTGTCTAGCTGTGTGTGTGTGTGTCTAGCTGTCTGTGTGTGTGTGTCTAGCTGTCTGTGTGTGTGTCTAGCTGTGTCTGTGTGTGTGTCTATTTGTGTCTGTGTGTGTCTAGCTGTGTCTGTGTTTGTCTAGCAGTGTCTGTGTGTGTGTCTAGCTGTGTGTGTGTGTGTCTATCTGTGTGTGTGTGTTTCTAGCTGTGTGTGTGTGAGTTTCTAGCTGTGTGTGTGTCTAGCTGTGTCTGTGTGTGTTTCTAGCTGTGTGTGTAAGTGTCTAGCTGTCTGTGTGTGTATATAGCTGTGTGTGTGTCTAGCTGTGCCTGTGTGTGTGTCTAGCTGTGTGTGTGTCTAGCTGTGTCTGTGTGTGTGTCTAGCTGTGTGTGTGTGTCTAGCTGTGTGTGTGTGTAGCTGTATGTGTGTGTGAATGTGTTTGGCTGTCTGTGTGAGTGTCTAGCTCTGTGTGTGTGTCTAGCTGTGTGTGTGTGTGTCTAGCTGTGTGCGAGTGTCTAGCTGTGTGTGTGTGTAGCTGTATGTGTGTGTGAATGTGTTTGGCTGTCTGTGTGTGTGTCTAGCTGTCTGTGTGTGAGTGTCTAGCTGTCTGTGTGTGTGTCTAGCTGTGTGTGTGTGTCTAGCTGTCTGTGTGAGTGTCTAGCTGTGTGTGCGAGTGTCTAGCTCTTTGTGCGTGTGTCTATCTGCATGTGTGTGTGTGTCTAGCTGTGTGTGTGTGTCTAGCTCTCTGTATGTGTGTCTAGTTGTCTGTATGTGTGTGTGTGTCTAGCTGTCTGTGCGTGTGTGTGTCTGGCTGTCTGCGTGTGTGTCTAGCTGTCTGTGCGTGTGTGTGTCTGTCTGTGTGTGTGTCTAGTTGTCTGTATGTGTGTGTCTAGCTGTCTGTATGTCTGTTTGTGTGTCTAGCTGCCTGTATGTGTGTGTGTGGCTAGCTGTGCATGTGTTTGTGTCTAGCTGTCTGTGCGTGTGTTTGTCTGCGTGTGTGTGTCTGTCTGTGTGTGTGTCTAGCTGTCTGTGCGTGTGTGTGTGTGTCTGGCTGTCTGTCTGTGTGTGTCTGTGTGTGTGTCTAGCTGTCTGTCTGCGTGTGTGTCTAGCTGTCTGTGCGTGTGTGTGTGTGTGTCTGGCTGTCTGTGTGTGTGTGTGTGTCTGTCTGTTTGTGTGTCTAGCTGTCTGTCTGCGTGTGTGTCTAGCTGCCTGTGCGTGTGTGTGTGTGTGTGTCTGGCTGTCTGTCTGTGTGTGTGTGTCTGTCTGCGTGTGTGTCTAGCCGTCTGTGTGTGTGTGTGTCTGTCTGGCTGTCTGTGTGTGTGTCTGTCTGCGTGTGTGTCTAGCCGTCTGTGCGCGTGTGTGTGTGTGTCTGTCTGGCTGTCTGTCTGTGTGTGTGTGTGTCTGCGTGTCTGTCTGCACGTGTGTCTCATCGCTGTCCTTCTGTGCGTGCAGTGCGACAGTTTGCAGACATCTGTCTCTTCAACACAGCCCAGTACAAGTGTCCGGTGGCCGTGGAAGAAGCAGAGTGAGTGTATCTCTCCATATATAAGTTGTGATTATGTGTGTCTGTTCAAACTGTTTAACGCACTTCCCGACATGCAACAAACTTGAAATTTGCCATGTGGGTACTTTCCAGACTGTACACCATGCAAAAATGATTTTAAAAAAATACACCAATATACATTTTTTTTTTTTGGGGGGGGGAGCTCATTAAATGCATGTTTTTTTTTTGCACGGCAAGTGAGCTGTGATGTCAAATCTGTCATGTGACCCAGGCATGTGGAAGCGCAACGCATTGTAGTGTAGCGGTTAGCGCGCTGTGTGTGTGTGTGTGTCTGTGTGTGTGTGTCTGTGTGTGTGTGTCTGTGTGTGTGTCTGTGTGTGTGTGTCTGTGTGTGTGTGTCTGTGTGTGTGTGTGGAAGTGTTGTGGGGAGCGGTAGTGTAGCGGTTAGCGCTACGCTGCGCTATGAACCTGGCGACCCGGGTTCGATTCCCGCTCACGGCCACCACCGGTGACGATTATCTGAACCGGTCCTGGGCCTCCCCCTAGGTCGACTCCGCCTCAAACGAGTAAGCGGTGTGGTGCGTGAACATCGCCACTGGGGAGACAAAGGCGGTCGGGCGTGGTGAATCCAAGTCCCCGGGCGAAGCCGGGTGGTAAAGCTAGTACTGTATATATATAAAGTTGGGCCTCCTTTGCCAGTACCAAAATATAATAATAGGTTTTTGTTCCACTTTTTTTTCCGGCAAACAAAACTGAAACCTTTTTACGAGGAATTTTGATTTACATTAACCACAATACCTGCGGTTAGAATGCAATCAAAAAACACTGATAATGTATGCATTGTCCCTCTCATACGGTGATCGAACGAACGCCGTATGAGACCAGGCTCTAAGGAAAGCTGTCTCTGGTGTGGACCAATCAATTTCAAGGACATTGCATACATTATCAGAGAGCGTTTTTTGTTTGCATTCTAACCGCAGGTATTGTGGTTAATGCACACATGAGTCCTTGTAAAAAGTTTTGTTGCCAGAAAAAAGGGGGAAAAAACCTGTTATATTATATATAAAGTTTATATAAAATGTACATATACCAATGCGTATGTTAAAGCAATTACAATTCTTAATATTTTCAAGTCGTCTTGTCCTTGCTGCGATATGGTTGGGGGGTAGCTCAACCAAACTTAATCACAACGTGAGTGTTTATCACTGCTGTGTATCCCTGTTGTTGTTGTTGTGCATGTGTGTTGTTGTTGATGTTGTGTATCTGTTGTTGATGTTGTGTGTGTGTCACAGTGACACGGCCCTCAGTCCCACGTTCTGCAAGGTCTACACCCTCGCCCCGTTCCTGTGATGTTGATGATATTGTTGTTGTGTATCTGTGTTGTTGTTGTTGATGATGTTGTTGATGTTGTTATTGTTGTTGTGTGTCACAGTGACACGGTGGCCCCCAGCTCCACGTTCTGCAAGGTCTACACCCTCACCCCGTTCCTGTGATGTTGATGATATTGTTGTTGTGTGTCTGTGTTGTTGTTGTTGATGATGTTGTTGATGTTGTTATTGTTGTTGTGTGTCACAGTGACACGGTGGCCCCCAGCTCCACGTTCTGCAAGGTCTACACCCTCACCCCGTTCCTGTGATGTTGATGATATTGTTGTTGTGTATCTGTGTTGTTGTTGTTGATGATGTTGTTGATGTTGTTATTGTTGTTGTGTGTCACAGTGACATAGTGGCCCCCAGCTCCACTTTCTGCAAGGTCTACACCCTCGCCCCGTTCCTGTGATGTTGATGATATTGTTGTTGTGTATCTGTGTTGTTGATGATGTTGTTGATGTTGTTATTGGCGTCTTCTGGTCCAACACCAATGGAGACTGGGCTCTAAGAAAAGCTGTCTCGGGTGTGGACCAATCAAATTCAAGGACAGTGCCAATATTATTATCAAAGTTGTCTTTTTTTGTTTGCATTTTGACTCCTTGTGTTGTGGTTATTGCAAACATGATGCCTTGAATAAAGGTGTCAGTTTTTGTGCCATTTAAAAGGGTAAAACCTATTCCTATATGTTGTTATTGTTGTTGTGTGTCACAGTGACACGGTGGCCCCCAGCTCCACGTTCTGCAAGGTCTACACCCTCACCCCGTTCCTGTGATGTTGATGATATTGTTGTTGTGTACCTGTATTGTTGTTGTTGATGATGTTGATGTTATTGTTGTTGTGTGTCACAGTGACACAGTGGCCCCCAGCTCCACGTTCTGCAAGGTCTACACCCTCACCCCGTTCCTGGCCAGCAACCGTGAGAAACGCGGCCTCGCCCTGGACGGGAAACTCAAACACGAGGACACCAACCTGGCCTCCTCCACCATGTGAGGCACCCTGACACACCCACGCACAGACACACGGACAGACACACGCACGGACAGGCACACAGACTGACATACACACACACACGGACAGACTGACAGACACACGGACACATGGATGGACACACACGGACACACACACACGGGGACACAAAGATCAAAGACAAAGATCCCCCCATATAGCCTTAACAGACTGTAGGGGCAAGTGCTGTTAGCGAGCACCTATGAAGGCCGGAACGGTACACGAGGGGGTGGGTGGCCAGCACCACGCCCGACCGCCTTTGTCTCCCCAGTGGCGATGCTTACACACCGCACCAGGTACTCATTCGAGGCCGAGTCGACCTAGGGGAGGCCCGGGACCGGTTCAGGTAATCGTCACTGGTGTTGGCCGTGAGCAGGAATCGAACCCGGGTCGCCAGGTTCATAGCGCAGCGTAGCGCTAACCGCTACACTACCGCTCCCCACAGACACACGCACGCACAGACAGACTCACGCATGGACAAACGCAGGGACGGACGAGCGGACTGAATGCGCGGACAGACAGTGGGATGGTCAGGTTTAATTTGCTGTTGTTGTTTTTAACAATTGGCAACGTGTGGCTTCGTTGTGCGTTCGTGCAGAGTGAAGGAGGGCGCCAACAAGGAGATCCTGGGCATCCTCGTCTCCTACAAGGTCAAGGTGAAGCTCGTGGTCTCGCGAGGAGGGTAAGAGACGGGCGTGCGAGTTGGCGGGCGGGCGGCTGGGCGAGCGGGCGAGAGGGGGAGCGGGTGGGCGAGCGAGTGAGTGGGTGGGCGAGCGAGTGGGCGTCGGGCGAGTTGGCGGGTAAGCGGACAAGCGGGAGGGTGGGCGAGCGGGCGAGCGAGCGAGGGGGGGAGCGGGCGGGCGGGCGTGGAGTGGGAGAGAGGACGAGTTGGAGAGAGGGTGGGTGGGCGAGAGGGGGAGCGGGTGGGCGAGCGAGAGGGTGAGCGGGCGAGCAAGCGCGTGGTTGCACGTGTGTACGCACGCGTGTGTGTGTGTAACGCACGAGCGTCGTGGTGACGTCACCGCCACTTAGCGGCGAATGGCGGTTGTTGTTGTTGTTGTTCGTACGTTGGACTTCTTTCGCGCCGTACATAGCCAGCCATCATAGGCCTCGGCGGATGGCGCATTTCCGTGGGGTAGCGGCGGAGGCTGGCTGTGACTTCCGGTCGGCGCATCTCATTGTTTATCACGTAGCAGCAGTAGTAGCAGAGCTTTCACGAGCTACTATCATCCATAGTAGAGGGTTTTTTGTTGGGTTAGGTCGCTTGAATTATCGGAGGTTGTGTCGCTAACCCCGCCGCCACCCGGCACGGCCGAGCGGCAATGGTGTTTGCGTCACGTAAACAAAAACGTGCCCACTTGGTTGCTAAGTTGAGCACACACACACACCGGTTGTTGTGTTGTTGGAGAGTAAACCCACGACAACATGCGTGTATAGTGCAGTTTATAGTGTAGTTTAAAGTGCAGTTTGTAGTGTAGTGTGTAGTGTAGTGTGTGGTAATGTATAGTAATGTATAGTAGTGTATAGTGTAGTGTATAGTGCAGTTTATAGTGTAGTTTATAGTGTAGTTTGTAGTGTAATGTGTATTGTAGTGTGTAGTGTAGTGTGTGGAAATGTATAGTAATGTATAGTAGTGTAGAGTGTAGTCTATAGTGTAGTGTATAATGTAGTTTATAGGGTAGTTTGTAGTGTAGTGTAGTGTGTAGTGTAGTGTGTAGTAATGTATAGTAGTGTATAGTGTAGTGTGTAGTGATGTATAGTGTAGTGTATAGTGTAGTGTGTAGTGTCGTCTATAGTGTAGTAATATATAGTAATGTATAGTAGTGTATAGTGTAGTGTGTAGTAATGTATAGTGTAGTGTATAGTAGTGTATAGTAGTGTAGTGTGTAGTGTAGTCTTTAGTGTAGTGTGTAGTAGTGTATAGTGTAGTGTATAGTAGTGTATAGTGTAGTGTAAAGTGTAGTTTATAGTGTATAGTGTAGTCTATAGTGTAGTGTGTAGTAATGTATAGTGGTGTATAGTATAGTGTAGTGTATAAACACACCTGTCAACGCCTGATCAGTGCCCTACCTTATTACAGACCAATTCAGACAATATTGGTCACCCCGTGCCCCTAATAAATCTCAACGTTCATCCTTCAAAGTCCCATCACAAGCGAGAGAAACACAAACAAACCTACAGCATATTCTTGGTTCTTTCGGTCAAAGTCGCGTAGATAGAAAATACAACTTAAATAAAAAATAAAAAAAAATTCAATAAAAAATTAAAAGCAATAAATAGGAAACATTATTTTCTATTTTTTTTACTTTTCATTTGCTCACTTTTAATTTTCTATCCATGCGACTTTACCGCGGCCGCGTGGCCCGATTTCGCCGTACAAGACTACCGGCCGGCAACCGTTGGCGTTGGCACGGCACGCCGCCACATCTACACTTCGGCGCGCGGGGAGTTAAACCCAACCCCAACGTCGGCAAGCCGCTAGTCCACGGCCCGCTCGTGCACACTCGCCACGCCCACAGGGCGCTGCTGTGCGTGTTAGTCCTCCAGTGCGCAGGCAAACCCCGGCGTGGGGCGAACTCGGGAAACGAATTTCGTTTACTTGACACGAACCACCACCACCACCACCACCCCTTTACCAAGCGGCGGTGTCGGTGTCGGTGGATTTTAACGATCCTCACCGCCCCCCCCCCTCCCCGACGAGCAAAAACCTCCGTTGTGGATCATCTCATTGTTGTCGTCGTCGTCATCATCTCATTGTTTCATTTTTTCTTTATGTTCCAGAATTCTGGGTGACATAGCAACAAGGTAAATTAATGCATCGTCTCTCATTACACCGCATCGCATCGATGTTTTTTTACACGTGTGTAAAAGATGTGCGTGTGTGTGTATATATATGCGCGACGATGATGTGTGTATGTTGAGCTTTTTTCATCTCGGCTAGTGAGATATTGACTACCTCGCCTGGTGTGCGGGAGGTCGTGGGTTCCATCCCCACCCCCTGGCGATGCCTGTATTTGGCGAGATGTTAACTCTTTCGCCTGGTGTGCAGGAGGTCGTGGGTTCAGTCCCGACCCTGACGATGCCTGCTGCTGCTGCTGTATATTTGGAGTTTGCGTGTCTCTCTCTCATCATCATCACAGTGGCTAGGAGATGTTAACTTCCTCGCCTGGTATACATGAGGTCGTGGGTTCAATCCCGACCCTGACAATGCCTGCTGCTGTATATTTGGAGTTTGCGTGTCTCTCTCTCATCATCATCACAGTGGCTAGGAGATGTTAACTACCTCGCCTGGTATGCTGGAGATTGTGGGTTCGATCCTGACCTTGACGATGCTTTATATTTGGAGTTTGCGTCTCTCTCTCATCATCATCATCACAGTGGCTAGGAGATGTTGACTACCTCGCCAGATATGCTGGAGGTCGTGTGTTCAATCCTGACCCTTGATGCCTGCTGCTGTATATTTGGAGTTTGCGTGTCTCTCTCTCATCATCATCATCATCACAGTGGCTAGGAGATGTTAACTACCTCGCTAGGTATGCTGGAGGTCGTGGGTTCAATCCTGACCCTTGACGCCTGCTGTATATTTGGAGTTTGCGTGTCTCTCTCATCATCATCATCATCACAGTGGCTAGGAGATGTTAACTACCTCGCTAGGTATGCTGGAGGTCGTGGGTTTAATCCTGACCCTTGACGATGCTTTATATTTGGAGTTTGCGTGTCTCTCTCATCGTCATCATCACAGTGGCTAGGAGATGTTAACTACCTCGCTAGGTATGCTGGAGGTCGTGGGTTCAATCCCGACCCTTGACGATGCTTTACATTTGGAGTTTGCGTGTCTCTCTCATCATCATCATCACAGTGGCTAGGATATGTTAACTACCTCGCTAGGTATGCTGGAGGTCGTGGGTTCAATCCCGACCCTTGACGATGCTTTATATTTGGAGTTTGCGTGTCTCTCTCTCTCTCTCTCTCCGTGGTGGCCGCGTGGATTTTTCTCCGGGTCCTCTGGTGTTTTTTCCTCCACATTTTCGAATCGTCGCCACGCGTTCGGCTGCCACCACTTCGTTGAGCTGCTATCATTGGTGATGGCCAGGTGGTCGCGTCTGAAAAAATAGCTACATAGCTCATTGGGCCTTGCCTGGTTTAAATACAAAATAGTTTACCGTTTAAGTGTCGTCTTTCCCTCCACATTTAGAATGGACGTCGCCACTCGTTCAGAGTATTTGGGTGCTGCTACAAATTTCCACGCGATGACGACGATGATGATGATGATGATGGTTGAGCAGCTATCGCTTGTGATAAGCCCGGTGTTCGCTTCTGACAAAGAGCTACGCGGCTTCAAGTGGGGGCCTTTTACACACCTGGTGAAATTAAAGCAAAACTTGTTTAATGTAATGATAATAATGATGATTATTATAATAGGTCGACCCTTGGTTGAGCAGCAGCTATCGCTTGTGATAAGCCCGGTGGTCGCTTCTGACACGTTAGTAGTTTTAGTTTTAGTTGGTCTTCCGAGCCTGACTGGTTCACTCGGCCACGCAGCGCGTTAACGGCGCTCCCGTGGTGGCGTGCAAGTCGGCGTGTGTGCGTGCGTGCGTGTGTACGTATGTTGTATGTGGGGAGCGCCACTTAGGGAGACAAAGGCGGCCGGGCGTGGTTGCCGGCCACCCACCCCGTCGTGTGCCTTCATAGGCGCTGCTGCTCGCTAACAGCACTTGCCCCTGCAGCCTGTTAGAGGCTACACGGGGGATCTTTGTCTGTGTATAGGTGCTGCTGCTACTCGCTAACAGCACTTGCCCCTACAGCCCTGTTAGAGGCTACACGGGGGATCTTTGTCTGTGTATAGGTGCTGCTGCTACTCGCTAACAGCACTTGCCCCTGCAGCCTGTTAGAGGCTACACGGGGGATCTTTGTCTGTGTGTTGTATGTATGTTGCACATACCTCCGATGAGCGTGGCACGCCGACCAAGACAGAGAGAGTCGTGACGAAGTAGAGAGGGTGGTGGAAAACGAGTGAGCGGTGACGAGCGGCGTCCACCCCCACCCACCCCCACCCACCCACCCACCCCCACCCACCCGCACCCACCCACACCCACCCACCCCCACCCACCCCCACCCACCCCTATGTCGTGGTGCCCAGCGACGTTGCGGTGGAGCTGCCCTTCACCCTGATGCACCCCAAGCCCCCCGAGGAGTCCATCTCACGTGCAGGCTCAGGTCAGTCCCACGAGACGCCCCCCCCCACCCCCCCCCCCCCCCCCCCCCGCGAGATGTTAACTCCCTCGCCCGGCGTGCGGGAGGTCGTGGGTTCCATCCCAACCCCTGGCGACGCCCGTATGTGTCGAGATGTTAACTCCCTCGCCCGGTGCGCGGGAGGTCGTGGGTTCCATCCCGACCCCTGGCGACGCCTGCGATTTGTCGAGATGTTAACTCCCTTGCCCGGTGTGCGGGAGGTCGTGGGTTCCATCCAGACCCCTGGCGACGCCTGTGATTTGGCGAGATGTTAACTCCCTCGCCCGGTGCGCGGGAGGTCGTGGGTTCGAACCTGGGCAACCGCAGACAGAAGCGTACGCTGCCCCGCCCCCCCACCCTCCCCCAGCCGTGCGGTGTGAATCGGTGTGAGTGGTTGTTACTGTGGTAACCGCTCACCGGGGTTTTCCCTCTTGGCCCTGGTGCAGTGGCGCCCGACAGCGATGCGCCAGTCGACGCCGACTTGATCGTCTTCGAAACAAAGTAAGTCAACGAGGCCACTTCCCTGCGAGTCAGTGAGTACCCGCGTGAGTCTACAGGTCTTTGTGTGAGTCTGTGGGTCTCTGTGTGAGTCTGTGGGGTCTCGGTGTGAGTCTGTGGGTCTCGGTGTGAGTCTGTGGGTCTCTGTGTGAGTCTGTGGGTCTTTGTGAGTTTGTGTGTCTCTGCGTGAGTCTATGGGTCTCTGTGTGAGTCTGTGGGTCTCTATGTGAGTCTGTGGGTCCCTATGTGAGTCTGTGGGTCTCGGTATGAGTCTGTGGGTCTCTGTGTGAGTCTGTGGGTCTCTGTGTGAGTCTGTGGGTCTCAGTATGAGTCTGTGGGTCTCTGTGAGTTTGTGTGTCTCTATGTGAGTTTGTGGGTTTCTGTGTGAGTTTGTGGGTCTCTGTGTGAGTCTGTGGGTCTCAGTATGAGTCTGTGGGTCTCTGTGAGTTTGTGTGTCTCTGCGTGAGTCTATGGGTCTCTGTGTGAGTCTGTGGGTCTCTATGTGAGTCTGTGGGTCTCTATGTGAGTTTGTGGGTTTCTGTGTGAGTCTGTGGTTATCTGCGTGAGTCTGTGGGTCTCTATGTGAGTCTGTGGGTCTCGGTATGATTCTGTGGGTCTCTGTGAGTTTGTGTGTCTCTGCGTGAGTCTATGGGTCTCTACGTGAGTCTGTGGTTATCTGTGTGAATCTGTGGGTCTCTATGTGAGTCTGTGGGCCTCGGTATGAGTCTGTGGGTCTCTGTGAGTTTGTGTGTCTCTGCGTGAGTCTATGGGTCTCTGTGTGAGTCTGTGGGTCTCTATGTGAGTATGTGGGTCTCTATGTGAGTTTGTGGGTTTCTGTGTGAGTCTGTGGGTATCTGCGTAAGTCTGTGGGTCTCTATGTGAGTCTGTGGGTCTCGGTATGAGTCTGTGGGTCTCTGTGTGAGTCTGTGGGTCTCTGAGTTTGTGTGTCTCTGCGTGAGTCTATGGGTCTCTGCGTGAGTCTGTGGGTCTGTGCGTGAGTCTCTTGTTCTCTATGTGAGTCTGTGGGTCTCTGTGTGAGTTTGTGGGTCTCTGTGTGAGTCTGTGGGTCTCTGCGTGAGTCTGTGAGTCTCTACGTGAGTCTGTGGGTCTCTGTGTGAGTCTGTGGGTCTCTGCGTGAGTCTGTGGTTCTCTGCGTGAGTCTGTGGGTCTCTGTGAGTTTGTGTCTCTGCGTGAGTCTATGGGTCTCTGCGTGAGTCTGTGGATCTCTATGTGAGTCTGTGGGTCTCTGTGTGAGTCTGTGGGTCTCTGCGTGAGTCTTTGGGTCTCTGCGTGAGTCTACCAGTCTCTGCGTGCGTATATGGGTCTCTGCGTGAGTCTGTGTGTCTCTGCGTGAGTCTGGGTCTCTGCGTGAGTCTGTGGGTCTCTGCGTGAGTCTATGGGTCTCTGCGTGAGTCTGTGGGTCTCTGCGTGAGTCTGTGGGTCTCTGCTTGAGTCTACCAGTCTCTGCGTGAGTCTATGGGTCTCTGCGTGAGTCTGTGTGTTTCTGCGTGAGTCTGTGTGTCTCTGCGTGAGTCTGTGTGTCTCTGCGTGAGTCTGTGGGTCTCTGCGTGAGTCTGTGTGTTTCTGCTTGAGTCCACCAGTCTCTGTGTGAGTCTGTGGGTCTCTGCGTGAGTCTGTGGGTCTTCATGTGGGTGTGTGCATTCGTTAGCACAACGTTGCGTTCCAATCCCCCTCACGGTGACGATAATTATCTGAACCGGTCCTCGGCCTCCCCTAGGTCTACTCAGCCTCAAATGAGCACCCGGTGCGGTGTGTAGTAAACATCGCCACTGGGGGAGAGACAAAGGCGGCCGGGCGTGGTGCTGGTCACCCACCACCCTTGTGCCCCATGCCGCCCTTCGTAGGCGCTGCTGCTGCTGCTGCTGCTCGCTAACAGCGCTTGCTCCAACGCTCTGTCAAGGCTACACACGGGGGGGGGATCTTTGTCCGGCTCCCCTAGTCGGGAATTGAACCCAGGAAGTTCTGACCGTGAGGCACAAATTGTCGCCGCTTGTAGCCGTACCCAAGCCCCCTGTGTCTTGACTCTTAACTCGGCGTCTAACTGCGTGTCCTCCCCCTGCGCATTGTCGCGCGTGTGTGCGTGTGTGCGTGTGTGCGTGTGTGCGTGTGTGCATGTGTGCGTGTGTGCGTGTGTGCGTGTGTGCGTGTGTGCGTGTGTGCATGTGTGTGCGTGTGGTCGTGCTTGTGTTCCCTGCGCGCCGTGCGTGTGTTCTGTGCGTGCCGTGCCCCAGCGGAGAAGCGTGGGACGATGACATCGTGTTCGAGGACTTTGCGAGGCAACGGCTGAAGGGGGCCAAGGACGAGGAGGAGGAGGAGCCGCCGCCGGACTCGCCCAACGGGAAGTAGGAGGGGGCGGCGGCGTAACCGCCGGTAACCGGCGGCAACCGGCGGCAACCGGCGGCAACCGGCGGCAACCGGTGGCGGCGACGATGGCGACGACGACGAGCGGCATTGGGGTTGGGGGGGGAGTTGACGGCACCCGCGAGAAAAAAATAAACGGAATATTTTTTATTTTACGCGCGCTGGGTCCAGTGGCTCCCTTGCCTCCATGACGACGATGACGACGACGACGACGACGACGACGATGATGACGACGACGATGACGACGACGATGATTCTGCGGGGCACCGTCGGGGGGGGGGGGGGGGGGAGGGGGGGTGGAGGCGGGGGATTGGGGAGGACAACAAACTGAACGGGCAAAAGCAGTCGTAAAGAAACGAGTTCGCCGATCGAGGCGACGATTTAAAAGCGCCACGGCTCCCAGCGGGAGGAAGAGCGCGTTCCAGACGGCCGCGGAAGCGCGCCTGGAAGCGCCGCGCGATGATGCGGTGACCACCGTCTTTGTTCTACGGTCAGCCAAAAGCTGCCGCTGGTGCCGCTGCTGCTGGTGGTGCTGCTGGAACTGCTGCTGGTTGTGGTGGTGCTGGTGGTGGTGGTGCTGGTGGTGCTGGTGGTGGGGATGCTGGTGGTGCTGCTGGAACTGCTGCTGGTTGTGGTGGTGCTGGTGGTGGTGGTGGTGCTGGTGATGGTGCTGCTGGTGGTGCTGCTGGAACTGCTGCTGGTTGTGGTGGTGCTGGTGGTGGTGATGCTGGTGGTGATGCTGGTGGTGGTGGTGATGCTGGTGGTGGAGATGCTGGTGGTGGTGCTGCTGATGCTGCTGCTGATGGTGTTGCTGGTGCTGCTGCTGATGGTGTTGCTGGTGCTGCTGCTGATGCTGCTGCTGCTGATGGTGTTGCTGGTGCTGCTGGTGCTGCTGCTGCTGCGAGGGTGACCACCGGAGTGTCTCGTGATGACGGTTCACGAGCCCCTCGACGGGATGGGTGAGCTAGCTCGGTCCTCAGCGGCGGTTGCAGGGGCGGGTCCGGGGGAGGCCTTCATCCAGCAGTGGATTGACGACGACGACGGCTGACGACGGCTGACGACGGCGGCTGACGACGACGCCGGCCGTTTTCGTGCTTTTCGGGTCGTGCCGTTTAAGCCGCGCGCTTCGATTTTTCGCTCCGATCTTCGCCAAGCGTGCGTCGCCGCCGTGAACCGCTTTGCTTTTTTATTTTTACCGCCGCCGCCGCCGCTGTGTAAAGTCCCCCAACCGAGCTGCGGGGGTAGCTCTTGTTTCAGAAGCGGCCAGCCCGGTGGCCACAGCAGACGATGTTCTCTCGGCGAAGCGGCGGCGGCTCGTCACCGCTGTCGTCGTGCGGACATTAATGGGGCGGCCAAATGCTCAAAAATGCGTGACGTCGATTCTCGCTGTGAGGGGGGACAAACCGCGGACGACCCCGGGGAAAGATCGACGCGACCGCGCTCGCTCGTCCACTCACTCGCCCACTCGCAGACTTTCCCGCCCACTCGCACACTTGCCCGCCCACTCGCTCGCCCACTCACACACTCGCACACTTGTCCATCCACTCGCTCGCCCACTCACTCACTCACGCGCCCACTCACTCACCCACCCTCTCACTCGCCCATTCCCACCCACCACGCTCCCACTCGCCCACTCACCTATTCGGTCACTCGCTCGCCCACTCGTACGCTCACTCACCCACCCACTCATCCACTCGCTCATCCACTCACTCGCCCACCCACTCATTCACACGCCCACTCACACACTTGCCCATCCACTCGCTCGCCTACTCACACACTCACTCACTCACGCGCCCACTCACGCGCCCACTCACTCACGCGCCCACTCACACACCCACTCACCCACCCTCTCACTCGCCCGCTCACCCATCCACTCATTCACTCACCCACTCACCCACCCACCCACCCTCTCACTCACACGCTCAATTACCGACACCCTCACTTACGCGGCCACTCACAGACTCATCCACCCACCCACCATGCTCCTACTCGCCTATCCTGTCACTCGCTCGCCCATTCACACACCCACTCATCCACTCACTCGCCCACCCACTCACTCATGCGCCCACTCACCCACACACACTCACTTACGCGGCCACTCACACACTCACCCACCCACCCAGTAACTCACGCTCCCGCTCACCTATCCGGTCACTCGCTCGCCCACTCGTACGCTCACTCATCCACTCGCTCATCCACTCACTCGCCCACCCACTCATTCACACGCCCACTCACTCGTCCACCTACCCAGTAACTCACTGTATTCTCAGCTCGGTTCCGGCTCTGCTCGATAGATTTCCAGTGGAAAGAAACTCCATCCGTGCCATGCTGGCCCTGTGCTGGCCCCGTGCTGGCACAGCTCACGTGTGCAGGTGGAAAAAGGCTATAATCTGATATCTTGTGAGGCCACCATAGCACAGCTCGGTTCTGGCTCGGCTCTGTTAAATGTGCAGTGGGAATTTAACAAAACCTACCCGTGCCATGCTGCCCCGTGCTGGCCCCGTGCTGGCACAGCTCGGATGTGCCAGTGGAAAAGAAGGGGGGGGGGGGGTGGGGAATCATGAACGAGATGGAGCTATCGAGAGCGAGAGTAAGCGGCCGAGAAATCTCTCGGTGTTGCTCCCCACCCAGCGACCGCAATTTGTTGTTGTTGTTGTTGTTGTCGTCTCGCTCGATAGAAATCCCGTCTTGTATATTGTAATGAACTTTCGCTTATCCGTCGCCACGCCTCCCTCCCCCGAGTCAGCAGTGGCAGCAGCGTCGTTACTGTACCGGATATTGAAGGCGATTTAGAACGCGTTGGTAGGAGGAACGCTTTAACCTCTTGGGGGTCGGGGGGGGGGGGGGCTCTGGCCCAGAGCATGGGGAAGAGTAGGCCGACGTTTAACCCTCCTTTTGAGTGGGTGGTTCCGGGCGGTTCGGTGATGGCCGGGCGCGGGGGTGGAGGGTGATCATCTCGTGGTGCGGTCACAACGCGCGGTGATCCCCCCCCCCCCCCGCCTTCCGAGAACGTTTGGCCCAGAGCACGGGAAGAGCAGACCCTCCTTTAGAGTGGGGGTTAAGAGATGGGCAGGCGGATGGGGTGGGGTGGGTGGTTGGGTGGGGTGAGTGATTGTGCCAATTTCCGCTCAGCAGCGGCACGGCCCGAGAAATATCATCGCCAAATGATTTTTTGTTCGTGTTCCTCTTTCTCACCCTCACTCCTCCTCCTACATCCCTCCTTCCCCCTCCGCGTACCTGTGGTAGAAGCCACCGCCGGCACCACCAACGAAACTATTGGTCGGTAGCTCTCTCGGGTTAGCAGACGGTTAAGGACCCATTGAGCTGCTACGTAGCTGACCTGGGGACCACAAAATAATAGCCACTCAACCAAGTGGCGGCTTATCGTCGTCATCAGTGTGGAAATTTACAGCGGCGGCGAAACACTCGAATGAACGCGTGACGTTGATTCTAAATGTGGGAGGGGGGGGGGAAACTGGAAGAAAAAATCCACGCGACCACCACGGTGAGAGAGAGAGAGACACGCAAACTCCAAATTTACAGCAGGCGTCAGGGGTCCGGATTGAACCCACAATCTCATGTATACCAGGCGAGGTAGTTAACATCTCCTAGCCACTGTGATGATGATGAGAGAGAGACACGCAAACGCCAAATATACAGCAGCAGCAGGCGTTGTCAGGGTCGGGATTGAACCCACGACCTCCTGCATACCAGGCGAGGTAGTTAACATCTCCTAGCCACTGTGATGATGATGAGAGAGAGACACACAAACTCCAAATATACAGCAGGCGTCAGGGGTCCGGATCAAACCCACGACCTCCTGTACATCAGGCGAGGTAGTTAACGTCTCCGAGCCACCGTGATGATGAGAGAGAGAGAGAGAGACACGCAAACTCCAAATATACAGGAGGTGTCAATGGTCGGTATCGATCCCACGACCTGCATTCCGCCAATTATGGCTAAGTCGAGCCAGAGAGAGACGTTTGGTTTCCTTTGATTTCGAGTCTCCCCCCCACCCCCGCCCCGCCCGCACCGAAACCACACGGGGGGGGGGTACGAAGTAGTCGCGCTTTCACTCCTCCTTTGAGTCGGGCGGTCTAGACAAGGCTGCAGAGGAGAGCCATTAACACGGGCCGATTTTAGTCGCGCCAAATCGGTTTGTCGATCGCGGTCGTTGCACGAACCGCCACCCGCCGGCAATCCCGCGGCGTTGTTGCCAAATCAAGTGGTTCGCGGTTGCCGTGTGATGTACGTACGTGCGTTGAACTTCTTTAACGCTGTACGTAGCCAACCGTGCTAATCGGAGGTGCGCCGGGGGGGGCGGGGTGAAGAATAAACTGAACGAAGGAACAAGCGGTTGGAACCGAGATGAGTTTGTCGTAGACGACGATCTCAAAGTGCGTGGCTCCTACCGGATTCCGAATATCGGAAGGAAGGGAGAGGCGCGGTTCCGGACGCGGATCCCGGGAAGCGGCGCGGCATCTGGCAGCGGGCCCGCCGCGGTGCCCAAGGTCGTCATTTGCCGGCCAGCGCCGACAAAGCCGTCTCTCTCGGCCGTGAGCGGCCGTTGTTGTTTTCTTGCGAGGGTTGAAAACCGTCTTGGTTCCGTAGGGCGCTCGGGGACTCGTCGCTCGTGAAGCGATAAAGAAAAAAAAAACTGGAACTGCTGCGAGGACGGCTCAATTCGAGGGTCGCCATGCCCACCAACGGCGAATCCGAGGTATCGCATCGAGAGGAAGAGGTATCGCATCGAGAGGAAGAGGTATCGCATCGAGAGGAAGAGGATATCGCATCGAGAGGAAGAGGTATCGCATCGAGATGAAGAGGTATCGCATCGAGAGGAAGAGGTATCGCATCGACAGGAAGAGGTATCGCATCGACAGGAAGAGGATATCGCATCGAGAGGAAGAGGTATCGCATTGACACGAAGTGACATCGCAATGACAGGAAGAGGTATCGCATTTACAGGAAGTGACATCACAATGACAGGAAGAGGTATCGCATTGACAGGAAGTGGTAAAAACATCAACAGGAAGTGGTATCACGTCGACAGGAAGTCACACCCGATCGGTTCGGAGGCGGCGCCTGCATTTGGTGGAAAATGACATCACGCCGCAGACGGGAAGTCACTGCCTTCGACAGTCAGGAAGTGACATCACAACGACAGGAAGTGACATCACAACGACAGGAAGTGACATCACAACGACGGGAAAGTGATGTGGCTCAGATCCGACCGCCTGGCTGCGTGGATTGCTT